GACCGTTATCATCCCAACCTAGGCTGTCTCTAAAACGCGCATCCACAGACCCCATCTCGATCATCCCGTTTGCGTTCTCCACGTCCAATCTCAATCTCACACTTCATTCTATGTGTCAGCTGATTCGGCTTCTGACGCTCGCGGTTTTCCTGGTGTGCCAGTTGGAGTATGCCAGTTGTTAAGACTGAGCTCTCGTTTCTTGAATTGATTCCATTGAGTAGGCAGTTGGAATGTATGTCTCACGTGCTAATCATCAGTGATAACACAAAGCGTCAGTTCTCCGTCCTTCTGTTAGTGTGTAGTGTATGCACTTGAGATGAAGAGTGAAGTCTGCAAGAATCTTTATCCACCGCTCCAAAGTGTTCACTCAATAGACATCTTAGTGGTCGGCGACAATTTTCATGCTCAGGATCCTTAAACAAATCAGAAAGGCCCACATGCGGTTGCCACCAAACGGACTGACAAATGAGATCAATTACCCTATTTTGCGCAGGCTATGAATTGTTCCTGTCAAGCTACAACTTATCCAACAAGAAACCTCTGCCCCTTACACGCGAACCTCCCGTCGCTCTGCTGTGAGCTACATATTAATGATGCTTGATGAACAACCAAAGTAAAATCAACCAAAACGGAAGCTCTCAATATACAAATCGGTCTTCGAAACGGAGCCGAATTGTAACCATGAGTTTTTCACTCTCCAAGTGTGAAATTTAGTTACGCAATTGGGTTGGTCCATTTTTCAACCTCGCTCTAAATGGAAAAGCAATGAAAAGAGATGAAAATTGTTTCCACTTGAGCAACTTGATCTCCCCCCTGGTAGATGCATCGTTTGTTGACTCCAAACTGTTATGGTGCTTCCGCGAAATTCCGTTTCCTGTACAGTATCAAGAGTAGACTGCAGCGTTCCAGCCATTGCTACTGTATGGTGCGCAGAATTGGCTGATACGGGGATAGGACAAGAATACCTCTGTCTATTGGGGTAGTTGAACAAGCAGTGCTGAGTTTTTGATAATTGTATTCGTCCATTGAATCAGGCACTCGTGATCCATGAATTGATTGCATTGACTGGGGNGGATAGGCTCCCCCAACTGGCGATGCTTGTCAAGGCAGATAGCAAGGGGAAAAGTGAAAGGGCGGTCAAACTAAGGCATGGCATGCGGATATGAAAGCCCTGATTAGGTAGGAGACTTGGTCACATGGGTCGCACTAGAATTCGGGATCAGTGTAATCGATGGTCAGTACGAAGTTAATATTTGTATTAACTGAACTTAAACTATTCCTAGTCCCACTGCTGCCAACCCTATTTATGCCATCAAATCGGATTTATAACTTTCATTGTATATCCCAGAACAGTAATAGTCTTTTTGGAACAATGAAAAGTCAAGATGTCAACTCGCGGATGTTTCGTGACTGAGCGACAGAGACCATGGCTAAACTGTTGTAATCACCGTTGTTGTACTAGCAGCAGTCACCCAGTGTCACTGTAACAACGTCATCCACGGAGATGTTGGAAAATCGGATCATTAATGGGCAAACAAGTTTACCCGTGCAAATGATATTCTTGTGTGCAGGCATTGATCAAACTCGTGCAATATGCTGACCTTCATTACGTTTGTTCCTCCCAACGCTCAGTGTTTCTAGCCCCATTCACGGGGTTTAATATGATACTACTGCACACCAGACGCAACATATATGATATAATATCCACTTATTTCTTCGCTTATATTAGTAGAATGCCATTAAAATGTACGCTTTCTCGATTTTAACGACGGTTCCTGGTGTGTCAGTTACTTGGTTTACTTTACGGCAGTTGGCCCCTGGGAGAGGATGGGTCGGCTTCATGGATATCAAGCAAAGATCCATGAAATTTCTTGGGAGTTAGTTACAGGAAACATCCTCAGTGTCACCCGGTTTTAGGTAAAGGTAGCATCTCTAGCCTTTGCTTATCCAATTGCAAACTTCAAGGCAGCAAGAAGGTAGCGCATGGTTACCGGTGGCCCTCTGGGAGGGGGGGGGGAGAGCTCATACGCCGTTGACATTTTCTAGCTGAACAGAGGTCCATGCATCCCTGATGAGTACGGAGCCATTGCCTTGGCCATTTAGTCTTGAAAGCGACTTCGTCCGCCCAACTCGTACGGTAGGCACCGACTCATCGGGAGTTGAGCTTCCGGTTACCTTCAAACTTATTTGGCCTACCTGTCGAACGGTTTACCGGGATGTGGCCGCTGTTGCATCCAAACGGCTTTTTGGAGACACAGATGAGAGCTGAGCACCTGGTGGAGACTAAAGAACGGAGGATGACCCAAAGGGGCCGACAGCCCTCTGAGTCAGAGGCGCTACTCCTACCGGGTACCCCATACACCACATACATGAATCTGATTTAGAATAACAGCTACAGTAAAAAAAAAAACGGAATTTATTTATCGAAATGGCCCACAGGCTTCATACAGGTATTGTTTTATTTGCCCTTCTTCCTTTGTGAGTAAAGGAGGCAATCGCTTTTTGCGTGGAGTTCACCAAGTTAAGTGCCCCACAGAATTTGCCAGTTTCCACCAATATATATATATATATATATATATATATATGCATACCCTAACCACTGTCGAGACAGTTAATGTATCCCTGATCCTAACACGGAAAAGTTTTCGACTACATTGAAATCCCAAATGCCGGGTGGTGATTGAATGAATTCAGCCTTAGAATCGACTCTTCCAGAAACGGAATAAATGTTAAAAAATAATATTTAATGACATCTAACCGTTTTCTATTACCAACCTCAAGGGAGAAGATATACTAACCTTCATTTGTGTGAAAAAGATGCATTTTAAGATTGACGGTTCTCGAAAACCTCTCTTATCAGTACCAGAAATTTTGTGAAATCCAGATTTGTGTGCGCTGGAGATCAACAATTAGACCCTATGTATTTACCCATATATACCCATATACTTTACTCATAGCCACCAAAATGCAAACATGAAATTGCAGACTGAAATGCGTTTCGAGAATGAGAGTGACGTGCTAGTTTGATCAACATCTGTATTCAAAAGCACAAGATTTTTATATTGAATTCTCGTCATAATGAGCTGAACTGTGTTATCGCTTTTCCTACTCATCCCAATTGACTGGCTAACGACGTAAATTTGTATTTCACTCCCATCGTGATTTGGTTGCACTTCCGTTTCACACACTTCAGACAAACAAAATGTCTATTCGATTGGTGGAACTGGCTAAAGACTATCAAGATGCGATTGGTCGAGCTGAGCGGGCAGAAAAGAAATTAGACGAAGTGCAGTGTGCTTTGAAAGCACGGGAACTGGAATTCAAGTAAGCGTGATTCTCTTCAGTTTCTTGTAATGTAGTTATGATATATATATATATATATATATATATCAAAAGAAAAGATCATATGGCATATATATATACTGTGATTTGCTAGTGGATCGAATACTGTCAGGTTGTCCAGAACAAAGCAAGTGCATTTTCTTCTGGGGAGGTGGTTCTTCGACTAGCCAAAGCAGTACGGTGTTTCAAAGCTGCAATCCACTGGGGGCTGGTGTCCAATTCATCGGATCGCATAACCCTTTGATAAGGTCAAACGTCCGAGGTACCCAATATACCTCGATACCCGATCGAGTCGGCAACCACTGCCACAATCAGGAAGAAGTTTGTCTGTATATGTGGTTCGTACTCCTCTTTTCGTTTTTTTTATTACACACTTTATTGTGATGAACAGCAGAACGGACCAACCCCGTAGTCACTAGAACCTGCTGTTTAATGATGGAAACCGGTAACTTAAGCTCCGCGGGACTTGGACTGGTGAATCACATAGGGTCCCGACAGGTTAGGCATGGTATTGAACCAGACGACAGTCAAGCTGCTTGATACCGAAGTTGGGTGGTGATGGCGGGTCTCGAACCTCGGACCGGATCCAAAGCACGTAGGTAACAGCGAATAAACCACCACGCCACCACCAACAGATGTTTTATCCACTTCACTTCTCACTTGCGAACTGCCAGCGTTTCACTGAATCGGATTTCGGCTTTCCTGCATCTTATACTTTGGGTAAACGATGGGTTTCGCGATCGATGCCACTCGTTCAGTATGCTTAATAAATCATCCTTTGCCATGATAATTTTTGAGGCTCACCCATAAACATACTTCCGAAAAGCCCTGGTTGAATTTTCTGCTTCACTACTGTAGACAGTCAGTAGGTAAAAGTGAGAAATCATTAGAGTAGATCACTGTGTATCTAAGACTCAGCTCTGGTGCACAAGCGCACACGCATACGGTCTCACGCGTATAGTTGGATAGGCTCCTTCAGCCTGAAACCCTGAATATTTTGGTGCACTTAATTCCATCGATTTCTTGGTCGCCTATAGTTTAATCCCTTGTTTTATTTCTAATGTAAATTTTCAAGCATTCATACAGTTAGAAAAAGGCTGAACATTTCTTTTTCATTTTTCCTTCCTTTTATTGAATACGTAGTAATACAATTTTCAGGAAGAAGAAAGCGGTCAATCAAAGGACTGCCATACAACACAGCGAATGGGGAAAGTCAGACGGTAGTGATGGTGGTGGTGGGACCCGAACACATGCTTCGGGGTGATAATGTGGTGACATTACCACCTGGCCAACACCACCCATTGCAAACTGTTACCAACTAACTAAAATGGTAAATGAAGTGCAAACTGAACATCTGAGCAGCACTGGACTGTTTTTTTTTCGATCTGGTTGGGTTTCATTCATAGAATGCAAATCTGGCAACCCAACTGGGGATCGAACCTGGGACCGCACAGGTAGAACACAAGCATAGTGCTCAAACACCGGGAACAGCACATGGTCGCCAACTTGTTGCGGGCACTCCTCTGATTCGGTATGGTTTCAACCGAGTCCTAACCCTGGAGGATTTTTCTTGTTACACACCAGTGTGTGATGAATAGCAGACGGGGCAGACCCCATAGTCACGAGACGCTGCTGTACAGTGAAGATAATCAACAATCTAAGTACCGGGAGTTGGAGTGGCGAACCACATGAGCCCCGAAAGATCAGGCGTGGTGTAGAACCAGGCGACAGAAATGCTACCCATCACCAAAGTTGGGTGGCAGTGGCAGGGCTTGAACCTCGGACCACAGGGTTCAAAGCGCACCAGTGACAGCGACTAAACCACTGCGCTACCACCACCTCTGGATAGTACGGAGATGCGAGAGGTTTGATACAAATCTGTTCCCCGTTTGTTCTCTGATTTATCCAGTTTCGGGGTGTCCGGAATGTGGCGTAAAAAATGCTTTCCATTTGCTGTTCTGTTTCGTTGACCAATTCCTAGCCAGCATGGTTCAGATGGACTACGCTTCATGTTTTCATTACATTAGTATTCAGTGTTATCGATCATGAATCTCGAAGGGGTTGCTCGAGTATTTTCCCATATATACACATGGAATTCCTCGAAGGTTTGTTACTTCTGTGTAATGTCATGTTCGAACTGAATGATTTAAAATGTATTTAAAAATACACATATTGGTGATTCTTGCGCCGCAGAGAGTTACAAGAATCGCGATACACGATTGACAGTCCGGAGGTAACGAAATTAATTACAGCCCGAACGGAAGCGGTCGAAGCACGTCATTTGCAAACAATTAAAAACTTGCAAGAAAAGTAAGTCACATACACCACATACACGTCATCTGTTGACTAGCTCGTGTTTTGTTCAGCTGGACCAAATCATTATCTTTAAATCAGTAGGCAATCTCTCTCTCAGTGACAGTGACTTATCCATCAAATAGTTCGACTATTTTAATTTGTATCAGAATGATTCTCGAAACGAGGTTTGGTTATACGGAATATTCGGGCATCAGTTCCACAGTTCGATGAATAGAGTCATCTCATATGGTTTGGTTCGCGGTTATGATGAAGTGGCGGGGGATACCGTCCTTTGCGATGGTGACTGTAAAAGATCGAATAACTATACAAATTACTTTATACACCAAAGGAATGGTACACATGGCCAGATCTAAATCACTTCCCTGCAGATTGGCCGTTGCAAACTGAACAGAAGGAACGAAATGTTCCTGTCAACTCGTGAACATATGATTTAAGTTGTACAAGGCGTGAACCGATTGATCTGCAAATGAACTGGATTACATCATTGCTCATTCAGCCTAAGTGCTGCTCGTGAGTCCATCCAAACTAATGTCAGATCGTGTAAATCAGGAAACGAACAAATCACGAAGTGCAGAAGTAAACCATGAACCTGACAATTCTAATTGTGGCTTGGAAACGAACATAAAGTGACACTTTTCTGCAGAAAACGTTTTCATTCGCCACAGAAAAACAGTTTACGAGTTTTCAAACAAATCACGATGGGTTCGAATCCCACCGAGGCTACTGAACTTTTCACAATCGATATACAAATCACGATGCAACAGTTTTTATTAAAAGAAAGAAAGGTTCATGAGTTGCACGTGGGTGGAATACTGTCAAGTTGTTCAGGCGAAAGCAGGTGAATTTTCGTCGGGAATCCACAATCCGAGCCTTAGCTGAAGCTTGACCCGTAAGGCAGTGGTGTGGCGCGTGAAAATCGTATGTCCGTGGTTCGTACGCATTCTTCCTGGTTGGTTTGGAATCAGGATTTTTAGCCAACTACCCTAGGTGAACTAACAGTGATCCACCAACCCGGTTATAGCCCGGATGTCGGCTTTCCGTCCTCTCACCTTGGTGGAAAGATATCGCCCCACGAGAAAGCAATGAGTAGGGCTTCCGCCAAAGAGACTATTCTAGACGCTTAGTCGTATGGGAGCATTTCGAGAGGTGCAAGGGAAGGGTGACCAGTCGCATCCCTAGACAGTCACCCCCGACCCTATTGAATCTTTTAGAGGTGAGATTGACGATAATTCTGATCGAAGTTCAGTTGTATGTGCAAAGTATCGAGTACTTGTTCGTTCCCGCGTAAATCTTTTTGTCTTTTTCCCAAGGCTGATAAAAAGTAAGTCATGTTTAGAAGACCATGAAAATAATGATGTAAAGAGCTACCGAATAATGAGAAACACCGGAGCTTAATTTCACAGACAAGCATTACTCCATGCATAAAAGAGATATTTCTTTTCATGTAGATTGGACGAAAGCACTAGTCGTTTCGTCGCACTGGAAGATGAATTCCGTTTGGCACTGCGCATTGAAGCGGAACGCTATTCAGAGGTAAGTTTGTCGTTTGTGAACGCTGAATGGGACACAATTCCACCCCACCGAACCCACCCGAAACAATACGTTTGTTTGTCTGTTTTACTTTTTCTCTCTGGTGAATCCCTTCGCCTATGCTCAGCTGTTCAACTCTTCCGAGGCACTTAAAACACGAACGAGTGAATTGGAAACAGCCAATAAAGATTTACAACAACGTGAAGAATCCGCACGGCAACTGGTCACGGAATTGACTGCGGTTAGTTTCGCTCGAATTGATTGCCGACATCCATATCTTTAATTTTGGCTGTGTGTATGCTTTCGTTTGTCTGCAATGGAATTTAATAATGCTTGGTTACATTTATTGCCGAGGGTACTCATCTTTATGACCAAAACTGAATGGCTTTAAAGTATTGTACAGCTGTTTCACTGTTCATGCAATGAGTTCTCCTGGAGTATTTTTGGAGACCAAAAAGAAGCATCATGATCATACGATGCTTTGAGTTCAACTATTCCGTGGTAATCTCATCAGCTACGTACAGCGGGTAGCTTAAGAGGTAGATCATTTTTTCGATAGCCGTTTATCCTAACAGACTAACTAATTCGATGCTTGCCAGTAGTCATGGTAAATGACGTCCACCGTTATTGTATGCCCATGTAGGCCTTTTGCACAAACCTTATTTCTCAACTATGGGCACATTTCTTGTTTGTAACGGTTACCTTCAAAGGGGTGGGATAATGTGATTTAAGCAATATCATCAAAGGTTACGATAACAAGGTTCTTTCAAAAATATACCTCTGTCTACGCTACATTATAGCATCGAGATACCCGTAAAAATCCACACTGTGTACACATATTCGGCTCACGTTTGGTTGAGTAACCGGTTTGGGAACAAGCAAACATCAATCATTGCGAAAGGACAGATGTCACTAAACCCGACTAGGATTGGACATGTGAGCAGAGAAGGAACAGGGAACAGGGACAGTCACATCTACCACAGAAGCGTGAGACTATCCTCGAATTCCATCTGTTCATACAGATCGGGTCGGTAACGTCTAACGGCCGCTACATCGGAGAACCGCAGTACACGGCTGCTTCTCGCGGCATATGCGAAACATTATCGATGGTCCCATAGGACAGTGGAAACATGGCTGAGGTTCACTGACCTCAAAAGCCCATAAATTTGGGTTTTGGTGCATCGCATTGGAGGAAGGGGAGAAGTTCGGAGTTTGATCCCCAATTCATTTCGGTAGATTCGCACAGCCTGGTGAGACTCAACCAGGTCGTGACAGCTGTACGGTGGTCCCGATCCTTTCAGTTCACTTTTTCTTCGCTCCAAATGCGACGGTTTCCGGTGCTCAACTTGGGAGTTAGTTTCATCACATCGTCGGATCCATTCGTGTTCTCTGCTCATGCTTATGTTCTGTTCTAAATTCAATGATAAAATTTCTCTATCGAAGCTAAAATTGACTGACTGTTCGGTACGTTGCATGATAGAAATGGCGAATTTGATCCAAGTTCATTGGAGGAATTCGTCCTGTATAGAGCAAATGAAGCGTGAACTGAATTATTCCCATGAAATTGAATCAAATCCTCCATTGACACATGAAATAAGTAATCAGGTTGTGAATGTTTCTAACCGAGTTATAACCCCGGGAGGCTAGTTCTGAGATGAGAAGGGTCTGTGGCCCGCAACAAGCTCGCAAAGATAGGTTGTGCTACTATATCGTGTAAATGGAAAATGAAAACAAAACGGTCTGGTCAACTGCCCCGTGGCTGAGTGGGTAGCATGCTTGTGTTCCGCCTGTGAGGTCCCGGGTTCGTGATCCCCAGTTGGGTCAATGGATTCGGGCACTGCTGATGAGATCGACCAGGTCGAAACAGCAGTACAGTGCTTCTTAGCTTTTCAGTTCATGCTTCGTTGGCCGTATATACGAAAATTTCCTCCTGCGTTAGCTAAAACTCGAAAGTCATGCTGATCTAAGCACACACTTAGTTGTCTTAGAAACCAAACTGACCTGTCAGATCTGCCGTGTAGATCATTTGTGTGACGAATATTTATCATCTAGGTGTATTAAGAAGATGAGTGTAAAAATTCCATTGGAACCCTCTTCTGATATTTGTTTTTTCCCAGCATGCACGAGTTTAAGAAAAGTGACCAGCCTTGATCATGTGATAATGTTCCTGTTTCTCCATTTTACTAATACGAAATGCCAACTATCATCCACCCCACAGATGCGACAGATAACATACCCAAAAGTTACACACTTTTTCTTCATACTGTTGTTTCTATAAATTTTCTTTCAGTGCACCTGTTTTCTACCGGTTTGCTGTTATGAGTGCATCTCTAACGGTAAACCGTATCCGCACACCAGCATTAACGTTTGTTGCTAATCAAACTCATTTTTTTATGCTGTATGCATTCATTGTCGTCCTGTGCTTCCTTCACTCCCTCAACAGGCCATAAAAGATCAAAAGTCGAAAGCGGCCAGTCAACAGAAAGCCCATTTGTTGTTACAGCATAATCAGAAGGTGAGGCCATGTCTTATTGTATGACCTTGATAGCCTAAATGAGNTTTCCGATTTCCAAATTGCCCACTCACTCTGTTTCTGCTTTTTTTTTTGTTTGTTTGTTTGTTGCATTCATTCGAAGCGCACGAAATCTGGTGTATTTGTTCAACTCCGTTTTTGTGACAATGAACCTTCATATGTACCGCGTAAATGCCTACTTTCATTTCGAAATCCCCAACCGCCCACGCTTTCTCGCAGTTTCTCTTCGACGTAGCTACTTAGACAGTATGTCTAGGTGGGAAATCCCAGATTTCTTTTGTAATTGTAGGAATTATCGTTAATTTTGAACTGTGGCAACTGATGTTCTTTCTCGTTCTGCACCGATTCGGAAGGTTAGTGCAACAGATGCAGAAAACGTTTAAACTCTTTTGGTCCGGCTACTTTTGATTGTTTGAAGATCACAGAAACCTTGCAGGGTTCGTCTTAGTGTTACCGGTCACCGACAATTCTATACCTTTTGCAAGTCAAGTTGTCACAATGTCATATCAAGATGTCCTCGGATTATTTCAAGATCTACGCGATGATTCACTGGTATCAACGGAGGGGGACACGCATACGCATACGCGTACTAGCAAGATAAACAACCGATATGTATGCCATGAGAATCGAGGTGTGTGTGACCGAAGCCCGTCTCACAATCGTCCCCCACACTGAAATGGGAGGTAGAGAAATCGGTGTTGCATGGTAGTCATCCAGACATCGCTGGGAGGCTTGTCAGCACCGGTGAGGTCAACGCGATAGCTTGAAATGATACTCGGACATCCTGAAATAATACTGGAACAACTTTAAATAATCACCAGGCATCTTGAAATAATGATCAGCCAACCTGAAATGATTCCCGAACATCTTGAAATGATCCGAGGCCATCTTGATATGATATTGTGACAACTTGACGTACAAAAGGTATAGTTTTTCAAAATCAATCGACATTACACAGAACCGTCTCCTATGTTTACCGGCTCTGCGGTCCCATTCGCTTAGTTGATTTTGTTACCTCATCTTTGGGTTGATAAAAGTACGTGACAAATTTCATCTGTTTTACACGAGTCAGGTGTA